TACGCATCATTTATGACCTACATTTCTGTAATACATTTTTGACGCTAAGTGTGCCTGATTATGATAATTTTTAATGCGTGAATCGCGTTTGTATATTAACTTATAATGAGACGCACATTTGACGATAAACGCGCAATCAGAGCAGTGAAAATACGATTATCACAAATTATATTTCTTCTTTTATAAATTTATTTATTGATATAATGGACATGTGTTTTTTACTATAAATTACGGAAATATGTGTATACATTGGCGTGAAAATCGATTGCCAAGCAAATCAATAATGTTCTGTATGTCGTACCTGAGTTTTCAACCGTCTGCTCGAATCGCGTCATCGCCGGTCTCATCAGTAAGCCGGACGCCAGTTGCAGCCCGTGAGAGATTAGGTGCACGAGAATCGTTATTATGATAATAACATATCCCCAGCCACCTTCCGGGTAGTAATGCTTATTGAGTGTGATTTTTTTTCGAGCGTTTATCGCGGTGAAGGATTCCTCTGCCTCCTCCACGCTCTCGAGTTGATCGAAGAGATTCTCAGATTCGCCGACGCTGCCGAGGCCTCCCTCGAGAATTAGTTGCTCGGAGAATCGCCTTCTCATCATCTTAGGCGTAATCGGGACGGCGCTGCTTTTACGGCCGGCAAGAGCGCGGTTGGCGCTTGCATTGAGGCCCTTTTCGCTAGCAGCGAGACGCGCGTCGCTGTTGGATTTGCTGCAGGCGATTCGGGATTTACTATTCTTTGAATCTTTAACGTTGACGGGCGCGGATTTCTCGGGATAAAACGGGGCGATTGATTGCGTCGCGCGGACTGTCGCCTTCGGAAACGTTCGCGGTCGGGTGTTACTAGCGATGATTGGTCCCGCGGCATTTGCGGCACCGGTGGTGCCTTCCTCGCAGTTTCTGATTGCATCATCGACGAGCGGCTGGTCGGAGAGTCTGCGATTATCTGCGCGGCCGATCTTGCGGCCGCGCAACGAGTGCGTTTGATCCGACGAGTACCGACGATGGGGTATCGGACCGACGACGGCGGCGGCGGCGGCGGCGGCAGCGGCGGCGGCGGCGATCGAGTGCCGACGCTGAATCGTCGTCGTCGTCGTCCCGCTGTCCCCGACGTCGGCGCAGCAATGGTAGAGGCTGCCGGCCGAGTTTCTGCCGGAGGAGGACGGCGGCAGGAAGCTCTGACAGGTCGACACGGAGTTTCCGGAGTCCTTCCGCCTCGCGCCGATCCCCTGAACCGAGTCCGCCCTGACGGCGAGGCAGGCGGAGGATGTGGACGAAATCTTCCGGCGCTGGTACTGACACTGTGCGCAACGGCACCGACATTGGCACGCGGCGAATTGCTCCAGGAAGCAACGGCACCGCATCATACGTGATAGGATCTCCGGATGCGCCAGCAGCAACTCGGGCACCTCGATCTCGCCCCATGATTTCGCAATGTCGCCGGAAGACTCCGTCGTCAGCGCCCGTTTCGAAACGAGGCTCTCGCACGACGAGCGGGTCTCGGATTCCGCGCTGGATATTTTCCGCGCGGTGCACTCGCGTTGCCGGCAGCAACGCGCCCGCGTTGCATCGTCACGACGGGGATAGGATTCCTCCTCCTCCTCTAACTCTTCGTCGCCGTCGTCGTCGTCGTCATCTTCGTCGAGCGAATTCTCCTCGCTCACAGCCGCGCTGTAGGAACGCCGACGTTTCCGATATGCGGGCTCCTCGCGCGGCGGCCTCCTCGCCGAGTCAGCTCGCTCGTCCATTTCGCGGTTCGTTTTTCAAACTTGTGCAATCGAGACGGATGCCTCGGTCGCTTGAATCCTCTAGCGTTGAGGAAACGACGCTCGAGACCGAGTAGTTATATGTTACCGTCACGCGCCGTCGCGTTACTTATCGCGATATTTAAATGAGTCACGAACAATGCGATACTTATCATATATATTTAAGTTCTTCTTCTGAAAAGTACAGATGCAGGGTTTGCCAGTACGTTTATCTCGAACTCTCTCGTCCGTTACCAAAGTAAAACTCAGTGGGTGTGTTTACGGATATCGTGCACAGCGTGGTAACAACGACACCAATACACCAGAAATACGAAGCAATGTAACAGTTTCACACTTTTCAAATTTTTGCTATTTATTCACTTTTTTTTTACTTTGTAATTGGACACATGAAAGAATACACCCAGCGAAAAATTAAGCTGAGTATTAAGTTACACCAGCAACATCGGTGGATTTCGAACGAGGACTATCGCCAATGTGTGAAACCCAGCGATGTTTTCGTGGGTGCATCGTGATGCTTTGCACGCATTAGGCCGAACGTGACCCGCGCGACGCGTTTAGACTGTCGATTCGTTGTCCTGATTTTTCTCGCACGTACGTTTTACGATGTTACATGGTAGATACTCTTCTTTCGTATGCATTAATCTCGAAAATAGTAGGGGTCGGGTGAAAAGTGTCTCTACCTTCTTGGAATAAGTGATGATGCTGAATAAGTGAGGACATATGTGAAGAAGTTACTATCGTTGGAGAAACTTATTTAATTTTTTATTATTTTTTTATTATTGAAATTTATTATTAAATTTTTTATTATTAATTTATTATTATTAAGAGAGATTATGAGATAATTGACAAAAACTTGAAATTTGATTTATTTACAGACTTTTATTTTCTCTTTTTATTGCTCTTGTTATTTATTATTATTAGAATTAATGTCTGATTTTTTGCTGATATTAAAAAATCTGTTTCTTTTGATTTATTTAACACAAATAGATCTTTATTATTTGGCAGGTTATCTTTTACTTTTTATATACAAACAACTGAATTTTATATACATAATATACATACTGAACAAAAGTTTTTTAAATTTATTAAAAATTTACGGAAAAAAGTTATGTTTTATTAACAGCATTAGTAAAGCAGTTTAATTGAAAATAATCTACTGTTAATTTATAAGTGTTTATAGAAGAAAGATATCATGTTACTGCCGTTGGCAGTAAAATTAACAGTATTGTGACATTACTGTTGATTTATAAGTGTTCATAGAACATGTTTTAATAAAATGCTCTTGTTTTAATAAAATGTTATTTGTTTTATTAATACCATGTTACATTAATACTGTTGAATTAACATTATTTCAATTAGGCTGCTATGGACTAATGCTATTAATATTTCATTCTTTTCTATGTAATATTGATGAGAAGTAGCATTGAAAGAAATGCTTTGATTATTTCGTCAGAATCAAAAGATACTGTGGAGATTGTAAAACTGCATTTCCAATATGACAAAGCAAACAAATTGCGGTCAATCTGTAGGAACTTGGCCCGTGGGAAACGCGACAAGAAAAATCAATGTATGTCAGAGGTGCAAAGTTGAGTATAACTTTGATTCCACTCCGACTACAGTTACTGAGTTTCTTCAGAAATAGTAAGTATTATTTCCTTTTAATGTAATTTAATAGCAAATTTCATTTGAGGTAAAACTTTCACAATTATTTCATTGTTATATAATAAAGTTTTGCCAAGTTATATGAACTACCAAATATACACTACATTCATCTTAAGATTTCTCGGTAAATAATTTTTAACATTATTATTTGATATTGAAAAGATATCTGGTAAAGTTTAATGGAGATATTCTGTTGTTGTAAAAATATTCAATAGATAGGAAAAATATTATGCTCTTTTCTAGGATAAAAATTAAACATATTTTTAAAATGTATATTTTGTCAATTAAATAATTACTAATTAATTAAGTTAATTAAATAATTGATAATTAATAATTATATGTTTGTGCAATTAATTGTATTATTTTATCAAAGAAAGATGCATAAGATATCACAAAATATAAAATTCAATTTCTATTATTTTAAAAATTCGAAATTGGTTTTTATAGAGAAAATTCAGTCTTTTATTATTATTATTATTATTATTGTTATTGTTACACTTTATTAGTACAAAATGCAGTTAAAATAGTAGGTAATCATTATTAACATTTATTTAATAAATTTTATTATATATGGTATTATGATAATAACATTTTAAATATTTTAATAATTTTCTATGTAACAATTTTATTAAAAATTATTAAGTATAAGTAAATATGATAGATAGCATTTGAGGGTCGCACGCATTGAAGATCTGAGTTTTTCAGGTTTTCGTGTCTTCGGTTCGCTCTGTATCCATACCTCTAGATATCGCAGGCGTATAATTTATGATACGACCAGATTTGAAAGGGGTTGAGTGTACGTATAGTTACATAAAACGTGATCAAAATACGATCCATAAGAAGACATATCCAGGTCAGAATTAGGATACTATCATCGCCGAGATTTACTTCCTATGATGATAAATAGTGTGCTATATGTCCATATTAGTTCACGAAGAAACGTGTGAAAAATGATAATATTATTTGTTCAGAAAAAGATGTAACAGAAAAGTGTAACATTATTTTAACTAAAAATATATAATAAAAAAATGAGACACTTTTTCAAGAAATAATCGCATTGCGGTTTATTTTTAGATTTGAAAAAATCCTAATTTATTTGAGAATATTGTAACAAATGATCCAATATTTTCATAAATACATTTGCATTAAATTTGCGTTTATAATTCGTAATTAGCACGTCGATAATAACCACTGACGATTAATATCTTGACGATAAATAGATGCAATTCTTGATAAATATATAATACTCATAAGCTCGATTAATTAACTCTCTATTCTGGCGATATAT